AAAATACTACTGAATTTTAATGTAAACACTTGGTTCTTGTAGCTTTTAGCAGTTACCAAACAAATAGGTTTGATATGATTGATGGTGATAAGATTCCCAAATGAGATAACAATGATTGTCAGATTTATTTTGGTGTTGTCAGTAAAAGGAGGGCTGTTTTTATATAATAGTTGTATGTTGTTGCAAAAGAAAGTTTTTAAAAATTCAAATTCACAAGAAATGTAGAGACATATGATATGAAAAATAGAAAGAACAGTAATAGCAGAAAAGGCACGTAAAGGAAACATGATTTAAAGTGTGTCTGGTATGTTTATGTCACAATAAAGCTTTCTTCCTCCTTACTCCTTTGCTTAACCATTCCAGGCCACGCAGCCCTGACCTTGAGATCGCGCCTGAGATGCATCATTCTTCGCAAAGACCAAGAGACGGGCAAGGGTGGCTGTCCCCCCACAAACCTCTTGGTGTTGAATGAAGTGGTCATCGACCGTGGACCCTCACCATATCTCTCCAACATTGACCTCTACCTTGATGGCAAGAGAATCACATCAGTACAAGGAGATGGTAGGTTCAGTTGACCTGTTTGACCTGCAAGGCCTTATGTGGCAGCAGAAGTCATTGTACAAGCGTAATTCTTCTCTCTCTCTCTTTTTGCTTGTTGCTATTTGTGTCCTGCTTTTATCTTCATAGGGGCATACATATCACAGCATTGACATATTCAGCTGTGTGGCACACATAGCAACACATACCTGAGATTTAGGGTTTCTTGAAGTAGTTATTAGGAAATTTGGTGTGATTGTGAACAGTAGCTGACCACAAGAGTTACATGTGATTGATTTATATAGATACTGGCAGTATTTTGACAGTAGCCTAGTCCAGTGGTCTTCAGCCATTTCTACTCTGTGGCCCTTGAGCAGCATGTGATATTATATTAGGTTTACAGATTAGGTGAGACATACTGGGCCAGTGGCTCTTCACCTTTTTACTGAGAATTGATTCTTCTCCCCAAGCCCCACCAGGATTTTTAGATAAGATTCCCACCGAGATAGAAAGATGAAACAAACAGAATTCAAAACAGGAATAACAAACAGAGCAACACACGGTTGTTCACAGTGCTTACTATTTTTAGATGTATAGAACAGCTAAGGTAAAACATCTCAAAAATGTGATAAAAGAAATGTGGAAAAAGGCATGTGTGATAGACTGGGGGAGAATGGAGATCACCAGCAAGAAATATAAAGTTCCAGGATGAATTTTAAAAATACAAAAAAAAAAACATTGTTTTAGAGGTAAGGGTTAATAAGGACAGAAAATCTTAAACATTGGTAGACTATTGTAAATTTAAGGTAGTAAAAGCATACTTAGGAATTTTCCTTAATTTTCTCAATATTAGTCCATTATTTTATTGAGAGTAGGATATACATGATTAGAGGAATTATCAATGCCTTGCAAGGGGGACATACCCAGTAGATTAACCCATTACTGCCAGGAACATCTAATGTCCACTGCAGTTTTGTTTTGTGAATTGTGTTTATGCACAGATGGCTACCCAAGTGCTCAGTCACCAAGAGTCAGTTAGAGTGTTGTATGACAAAACCTGCCTCATGACCACAAAGCTCTACCCAGTTCTGTTATGTAATGGGAATGGCTGTTTTACTGGATTTGTTATTTTTCCAACTGGTGCACAGTATTTTGGAATTTAAGGTGATACAAAATCTGAATTAACTCATGATTTTCAAAGTACTTCATAGCCCCTAGGTTAGGAACCGCTGACCTTAAGTATTTTTGCATTGCCAGAAGGCTTCATCTACATATTGGAGATTTAAGAACATTCTAAAAAGGATAGTAATAAATAGATAAATAATAATAATGATGATAATAACTGAGGATCAAAAATGCAACAGCACTCGTGTCACCGTATTTTCATAAAATCAGTTAGTTGTCTCACAGAGTCCTTCCTTCCATGCCATCCCTACAGGCTTGATTGTATCAACTCCTACGGGTAGCACAGCCTATGCTGTGGCCGCTGGAGCCTCCATGATCCACCCCTCGGTGCCAGCCATCATGGTGACCCCCATCTGCCCTCACTCCCTCTCCTTCAGGCCCATTGTTGTGCCAGCAGGAGTCGAGCTCAAGGTAGGAATGCTCCGTTCTTTATCTTCTCTTGTGAAGGAAAGGGTGTTTATTGGGATTTGCCTTTTGTATACTTTTGCATTTTGTTTTTGTATGTATTTTGTGACATTACCTTGGCTGTGGATGGAGCCATGACTTACAATATACATTTTTTAAAATTAGAAATCTAAGCAGGAGAATATGAGTGATTTTACCAGTATTATTACTTTCATGGCAATTATAATTATCGTCATCATTTTTGTGTTTTGCCTATTAATATTATTATTGTTATAATTATTCCTATTATTACCATTATTGTTATCATTATCATTTTTGTTACTAATATTATTTTTGATATTGATCTCTAGCAGTGAAAATGCTGATGGCTTTTGTAATATGAGAGTGTTTCCGTTCATGAATCATATGATTAAAACAAATGAAAACACACACACACACACACACACACACACACACACACACACACACACACACACACACACACACACACACACACACACACACACACACACACACACACACACACACCACACACACACACACACACACACACACACACACACACACACACACACACACACACACACACACACACACACACACACACACACACACACACACACACACACACACCCATACATACACACACATATACATGCACACACATATGCACACGTACACACACACACACACACACCACACACACACACACACACACACACACACACACACACACACACACACACACACACACACACACACACACACACACACACACACACACACACACACACACACACACACATGTGTAAGTGTGTGTATGTGTGTCTATGTATGTGTGTCTATGTATGTGTGTGTCTGTGTCTGTGTCTGTGTCTGTGTCTGTGTGTGGGTGTGCGTGTACGTGTGCATATGTGTGTGCGTGTATATGTGCGTGTATGTATGGGTGTGTGTCTGTGTGTCTTTCTGTTTGTGTGATATTTTAAGAAAATAAAGTTTCATTATTTCTTGATATGTCATATATCTATCTCTCCCCAAGGTACATTGAAAGTCCTAAAATGATCCTCATGTATTAAAATGAAATAAGAGATTATATTAACCAATCATTTATGACTTAGATTGCAGTATCTAGAGACAGCAGAAATACAGCGTGGGTATCCTTTGATGGAAGAAAAAGACAAGAGCTTTTACACGGGGATAGGTAAGGCAAAGCACATAGTGTGAGAAAATGCTGATGTGTCTTCAGAAATCTCCTGTCATGCACTGTGTGCTGCATTTCCCTGTACAGATGGTCTTCACTTATGAAGATGACGTTGACAATGACTCTTGAGGACTGACATTTTTCTGAAGGCTTGTTAATGACTGTAGATTGTTGTAAGATAGGGCTGTTTCTCAGTCCATTAGTTGGTTAGTGAATGACAAGCCTTCAGAAATATCAGCTTGTGATTTCACTGTGAAATCAAGGCTGTAGACTTGTTTTTTCCTTTTTTTGTTTTGTTTGTGGGATTAAAAAGATTGGAGCACCCATTACTAAAGTGTCTGTCTCATCTGACTGACAGCTTTGTGTGTGAACAAGTCGTTAGTAGTAGAATAAGAGAAGAAGATGAAAACAGGTAAGGAAGAATCACCAAGAATTCTCCTCTAGGAAGATGGCAATGTTACCTCCTCTAGTCTTGCTTTCTATTGTCACGTAAATGTGTTTCCAGATCAAGTTGAACTACGAAGCTCGCAACACATGCTGGGCTTCATTTGATGGCCGTCACCAGCAGGAACTGATGGTTGGAGATAGGTGTGTCTGTTATTGTGACTTTTGGCTGTGCACCTTGCTGTTAATATTTCTGGTGACAGCAACTGCAGATGATGCTTTTGATATTCCCAGAGGTCTTGGGAATTGTCGTTAGGCTTGATACCACAAAAGATGAAGATAAAGGAAAGTGTGAATGGAATAGTTTACCATGATTAGTTTGATGTATTCAGTAAGAAGTCATAATCTTTACAGCTGACCCTAGTCACATTGTCATAGTGGTTAGTTATATTAAAAGTATTATGAGCATTTCCTGTCTGAATATATTGTGGTATACTTTTGGGTGAGGAGAAGCTGACTTGCTGGTGGTTCTCTTGTTTCTTGTGTACTTTTTGGTCTTGGTGTGTATAGAATATCATCTTAGGAGGTGGCTTGGAGGATACTTTTCACCTGTTCTTCATGTGTATTGAGATAAAAAAGTGCTTTACTCATGTGGTGAGGTAACCTTCTCTTCTGTTGGTATTGGTGTGATATCCTGCTGTGGACTTCTGCAGTTATTTGGCTTGGTCTTGTGAAAATCTTGTTATTTCTAATTTAATGGAAGGCCTATTATATTTTCTGCTGAAGGTAAATGGGACAAATGTATATATGTAAAATTCATTTCTAACATGCATATTTTAGTGCTTCTTAGTATAGAGCTCCAGTTTGAATCATACATTAATAGTGGCTTTTGTAGATTTTTAAGCATCAAGCAAACTGCCTTTGTTAGTAGAAAAGGAAAGTGAACCTTGTGTCTAACTGAATTCATATTCAAGAAGACAAGAATGTATTCACAAAAGAGCTTTACTGACATCTAGATACGAGGTTCCAAATGTTAGATCTAGGAGATTGGTGTGCTCTGGGACAAGTGATTACACCCTCACTGACTTTTACCATCTATGACAGACTACAGCAAGCTTTAAGATACAGAAAACAGATCACTTATCTTACCACATTGATTGAATTTTCTTTGTTCATAAATCATCAAATTGCAAATCTTACTGCCCATGATTCCTCACTTTGGTACGATAATGATACTGTATTAAATGTGGCTGTTTATGACTGTTAGATTCTCTTAAGCTTGGTCATGGGGTACCTTGAGAATCCAATTATAAATGGCTCTCCTTGCTATGCCTTCATTATGTTCAATGACAAATAAGTTGCAGGCTTTTAAGATTTATTTTGAAAACCTGCAACCTGATGTTGGTTTCCCCAAGGCCCTTTTCTTATTGCATTATCTATCATATATGGTGGAACAGGCTGACAGTTACACATGCTTAATCAGAATGATTCTTTAGCAGTTTCAGCCATCATGTTTGTGTGAATCAGACTGCTTAAAGGTATCTGGTGATTATGCATATGACAAACCTTCCCTTTATCTTTTCATCCATCTGTCTTCCCGACTTCCACACTTTTCATTCCTCCCCATCTGTATTCTCTATTCAGACTGCATCTACCTTTCTGTGAAAAAGGAATTGCTGATGGTTACTGGACCTGTCTGGTATTTTATGGTATCTTTGCTCTCGACCCTCTTTTCTCACTTTATTTTTCTTCTTGCCTTGAATATTAGCAAAGAGTATTAGTCAGTTTTTTTTTTGTGTTTGTTTTTTTGAAAAAATAAAGTAGCTCCACATAAACAATATTTGAAAAGAAAAACATCAATGTCATGAATTAGTATAATGTATTTTTAATAATGATGAAAGATGAATATAGATATAGTCGAAAGACATCAACCAAAAGAATTATTTAGTAATGTCCACTTTGAAGATTCAGTAAGGTTGTTGACAGCCTTGTAGTTGATAGCACTTTACTAATGAAAGCATTCCTCTGCCCTCTCCCCACAGTCTCAGAGTGACCACCTCCATATATCCTGTTCCCTCAATCTGTGCAGAGGACCAGATTGCCGACTGGTTTGCATCTCTAGATGAGTGTCTTCGCTGGAATGACCGCAAGCGCCAAAAGCACTTTGATGATCCAGATGACCTATCCCCCCCCGACCTCACTCCAGACCTAACCCATTCCTCAAGCTCAGATACTCTGGACTCGCTCAGTGAGAGAAACGAAGGCTTTGATAATTAGGTAAGCTGACACTAGTGAGGTATTGTGTGGAAGAGCAGCAGAGTACAGAATTACACAAAATGTCTTCTCGCTCTATTTTGCTATATTGTATTACTTCTGCATAACTGTATGCTAAAAATGTCTATAGCATATCCATGTTTTTTTTGTTTTGTTTTGTGTGTTTATTTTTTGTTTTTTGTTTTTTACTCTTTCCATAGATGACTTTGTGTAAAAATAGGTAAAAAATCAGTTTTTTCTTTTATGCTGCATCCATTTATAATTTTTTTTTCCCCACTATCTCTCAGTCTGTCTGTTGCTTTACCTGAGAGAGTAATAGTACCTTCATCTCCTCCTTGCTTTCCCAATTGTACAACAAGTAGCATTTTAAGCTGTCTAGGATGATTGATGACGTATATCACTGTTCCTCTCCTCTGTATCTTTTCATATATAACACAAAATTTGCTTTCTGGAAATTCCTTTTTTTGTCACTTTTTGAGAGTGGTCTGAATCCTTGAGTGCACAATATTTATCAAGGATTTTGTTTATACCACATTTTTCAAGTCACAGAATTGACTTTTGACTGATTAGATGTAAGCAAGAGACTTACTAATGTATCCTTTACTTTCTCTTGTGTTTGTGTTCCTTCTCCTCCCCTGTTTATCTTCCACCAAGTAAGTTCACAAGAAAACCTAAATATCAAAAGTAACATGTACATCATTTAAGATGAAATTAATACTAACATTGTCTCTGCCCACAGGCTGGTCCAATGTGGAAGGGATCATGAACAGAAGATGCACATAGCACTAGTGAATACGAGAAAAGTGACTTTGTGGCAGTGCATGAACTGCGTTTCCCTGACTGATGTAGTGTACATTCATGTCAAGTGCTCATTCCTCAAAGTGCTGTATTATTCTCAAATTAGAAGATATATATATAAAAAAATGTTTGCACACTTTTTAACATATTTCATCCATGTGGTCTCATAACTGTATCATCACATAAACTGTTATTTTGTCTTGACATTCTTGTTGATATGTGAGGATGGTTCTCATTTGCTAAGGGTCTCAGCAGCAGTTGTTGTTTCACAGAAGAAAAGAAAACACATTTTATGATGAAATTTCACTAGTGCCAGCAGTTACTGAACCAGCTTTTTAGGTCTTATGTTACCTGTCTTTTATACTGTATATTTGTTTAATAATTTATTTATTAAAGTTTAAAAAGAATCATCAAAATCTTAATAAGATGAATATGTTGTCGACACATAAAGACTATTGATACTTTTATATTTTATTTTTCTAAGTCTGTTATCATGTATTTTGACAGTGTGAACACATGGATTTACATGAGAATTTTTTCAGTGAAAGAAAACATGTCCTGTAATCTTTCAGTTTTTAAAATAGCATATTGGGTTGACTTGCCAAATGACTAAGACAAAAATAACTTTGGTTATACTTTGATTTACACTTATGTCCTTTGTAGGAAATAAAATGATTTATCAGTTACAAGAATGTTAAGTTTTCAGTAAATGTAATGTTGAATTATCATCAGTACCGAGTCAATTCAGGAGGTTTATAGTGAAAATTCCATACAGTAGATTGCCTGTTGTATCAAAACTTGTGTGATTTGGTCTTTATGTACTGAATTCCAAACTCCTTTTAAGATCACTTTATTGGGAATCATTTTTCCACTATTTCTTTTTCTCTTTTGAACTCCTAAGGAGGCCATGCATCAAGTTGGTGCTGCAAACATCAGTTGTGAGATGTAGTGTATACTTTATAGTTTTGGAGTACAATACTGATATGCCAAACTGTTGACTAGCATGTCATTAACTCTTGGTCATTACCTCTCTCAATAGGTAGTCCTTGTATGTGCAAATTGATAACTGGAATGGATGAGTATATTCAGATCTCGGAAGGTACTAGATTTTGATCAGGTATAGGTAATGAATGTATTAGGATGCACAAGTTGAAACTGGTCCTTAGTTACAACTGTCTAGATGTCCATTCTTGGGTTTTAAGGTATTTATATAAAACGTATATTCATATTAAACATGTATGAGATTCAGAGTATTGTTGAGATAAAATGAACAGAAATTATACAGATTTTCACAAAAGGTGGTTATGTATCCATTAAAGTTTTGTGTTGCAACTTCACAAAATTCATTGAGGTTCACTAAAGTTAGAAGGCTCCATTAAGCAGCAAATCATTTTTATGTTCAAATCTGTTCAATTTATGCAAAATACAATCCATGGCAGCGTCCTTGTTTTGATAGAACACAAGACACTCTCATGAATCCTTCCACATATAAGTGTTGCCTTGAGCAGAAACACATAGGAGTTCTGTTTGATATAGTGAGTAAGTCATCACCGTTCTCTCAAAGTGTAGCTCAGGTTTAAAATTGCCATGTTTTGTCTGTTTCATATTAAGAATGTAATGAGCGTTGTATTGTGGAACAAGTCACTAAGTGTATGTAGCAGTTTTGGATAATTTAACAGTAGTATCAGGAAGTATTTTCATAAGGTTTCATCATCATCATCACCACAAAAATTAGGCCTTCCTAATGATACATGGGTAATATCATCTTTTTCTTTATTTTCCTCTACCCTTTCTCCAAGATACTATGCAAAAGTTTCTAGATTAAAACTTAAAAAGCACTTAATGTACCTTTTCATAATAGTAACAGGAAGTATTGGTAACTGAAAATATTTAATAGCACAATATATTGAATTCAGCATTGCTCTGAATTAACCTTTATTTGTTTTAAGATAGTTTTCAGTCAGTTGATGGTACTGCACAGTTCTAAAAGTGTGGAATATTCTATTAAGGCCATATTTATATCTGTTGATGTACAGTAATCTTTGTGCAGAGTAACATTATAATTGTTTGGAGCACATTCTGCCCAGAGCATATTGCTGGGATCTGTTCCACTTAGTGTACTACCTGTATGATCAAAATATTGTTTATTGTTGCCTGCAAATGTTTAGTATAGAATTTCTATCAAAATAGGAATATTATTTAGCATACTTTTAGGTTTCCAAGATCATTGAATGTTATTAGATTTACATAAAAATTATATACTTCTTACAAGCCACAAGTGTTCAGTGGATATTTTATTTATATATTTTTGTTCATACATATGTATAGGTGTGTAAATATATATATATATATATATATATGTATATATATATATATATATATATATATATATATATATATATATATATATATATATATATATATATATATATATATATATATATATATATATATATATATATATATATATATATATATGTATATATATATATATGTATATATATACACACATGCATACATATCATCTACTTTATTACATGGCAAAATAGGTATATATTTAGGTAAATGTATGCTGAAATGAGCCGCTAAGCAATGTAAATGAACCAGAAGCTTTAAGTTTGATAGGAAATAGCATGAATGAAGTCCAAAACTAGTACACCTTTGTATTACAGCAATAACTTTAATTTTCTTCTCATGTATTCAGAATGGAAAGTAAGTGCCCTGGTTTTATGTCTGCTCTTGTGTTAGTTCACTTGATGAGCATGCCTGAAATATTGCTGTGCATTTCTCCTGAATCAAGTGTTTGTGAACACCCAGTTAACAAAATGTTTAGCCTCAAATTTCAATTATATATTAAGCTTCATATCTTTTGGTAGATGTTACTCTAGCATCCTGTTTCTCACTCAGCCTCCATTGCGGGACCATATACTGGAGTGGGTTGAGGAATCCATGAGAGAGAGGAGGAGGGGGTGGGAGGGGGGAGGTATGGGAATTTGAATTATTTGTATATCCAAGGATTTGTCAGGCTTGTGTCTGACTTCATGCTTCTGTCCTCATGACTGTTCAAGGAGTGAAGGAATGGAATATTTTCGGATTACCTCCTTGTCATTATTAATGGAGATGAGGAATGTTAGGTGGCACAATGAAATAGCAGCATAATTTTTCTCATTTGTACTTTTTTATGTACCTTCCACTGGTGCACAGAATTTAACCAAC